GTGTTTGTGTTTGTGTTTGTGTGTGTGTGTGTTTGTGTATTGTGTTCTTTACACAGATGTCCTTCAAATGGCAGGCAGCTAGCGGATTGCACTGGAAGAAATGGCCACAGGCCCATAATACACACACACACACACACACACACACACACCCACACACACACACACACACACCCACACACACACACACACACACCCACACACACACACACACACACCCACACACACACACACACACACCCACACACACACACACACACACCCACACACACACACACACACACCCACACACACACACACACACACCCACACACACACACACACACACCCACACACACACACACACACACCCACACACACACACACACACACCCACACACACACACACACACACCCACACACACACACACACACACCCACACACACACACACACACACCCACACACACACACACACACACCCACACACACACACACACACACCCACACACACACACACACACACCCACACACACACACACACACACCCACACACACACACACACACACCCACACACACACACACACACACCCACACACACACACACACACACCCACACACACACACACACACACCCACACACACACACACACACACCCACACACACACACACACACACCCACACACACACACACACACACCCACACACACACACACACACACCCACACACACACACACACACACCCACACACACACACACACACACCCACACACACACACACACACACCCACACACACACACACACACACCCACACACACACACACACACACCCACACACACACACACACACACCCACACACACACACACACACACCCACACACACACACACACACACCCACACACACACACACACACACCCACACACACACACACACACACCCACACACACACACACACACACCCACACACACACACACACACACCCACACACACACACACACACACCCACACACACACACACACACACCCACACACACACACACACACACCCACACACACACACACACACACCCACACACACACACACACACACCCACACACACACACACACACACCCACACACACACACACACACACCCACACACACACACACACACACCCACACACACACACACACACACCCACACACACACACACACACACCCACACACACACACACACACACCCACACACACACACACACACACCCACACACACACACACACACACCCACACACACACACACACACACACACACACACTAAAACCAGTCCAAGCATTTAAATGGCCGTCCCAGGGGCTGACAGATTGCAGCTGACCCCTGATAGTACTGTATACTATTCCTCTATCAATCTTCTTTCTTACCCTTCCATGACACCCTCCCTCATTTTTCCTTCTTCTCTATGTCTTTGTGCTCTCCTCTTCACTTCCTCATCTTCTCATTCAATAGATTTTTTCCTCTCACTGACACGCACAAATCTCACAGACTCACACACAGCACATATGCCCTTCTCCAGGCCCAAACTCTTTCCCTTGGTGCTTGGTTGGGAGTCACATCATGACCAGTGAGAGGGTGCTGAGAGATGCTCAATGTCACCTTCTTCTCTGATCTAGGGAGCCTGTTCTCCACTTTGGTGTTGAAAGAGAAAATTGCCTTTAATTGCTCCACTTTAGAGCTGCCCTGGATGAGCCACTTAAAGGACAGTTGCAGAAACTAGGTTGACACATAATCACTGAAGGGTATGGATTCTTGTCATACGCGCGTTGACTGTAAAACACAGCTTGGATCATGAACAGGCTGGGGAAGGGGTACACAGTGATTAACTCGGGCAACAACTACAATAAATGAAGGCGAAATGCCTGCTTGTAATTGTTGAGCCAGTGCACACAGAAACCACTGGTTGACGATGAAACGGATGGCAGGATCAATGTTATCGATGGCAGCACTGTGCCTATAGACCTGCCTTCAGTTAGAGCTGTGCCAGGTGCATGCTAATGACAGCCTGAGGGGACATTAAATCATTAATCCTGTACTCGTGTGTTTATACCTTTGTGCAGACTGTGTAATATTAATTAAACATTTCAAGCTAATCCACAGGCTAAGTATCAGACTTACTATTAGACTTCAGTCTGTTAACAAAGGATAGAACAAGGACAAAGTTCTTGGAATGTGTTACTGTCCATGTGTTTATGAAAAAGCATTGTGGTGTTTTTTTTATTTTTTATTTGGAAGAGATACTGAATGATTTTAGTAGTCTGTGTTGGTAGGGTTAGAAGCAGGCTAGTCTTTCAAATATTAATGTGCCATTTAAATGCTTAAAATACATGGCAATAGCCTTGAAACTATCAGATGAATCTTGCGCCTGTGCATCAGATTTATCACTGCTGTGACACTGAGAAGCAGAACAGAGAAATCTGAAGAAAAATAAGCAAATAGTCAGATTTCAATTTACTTTAATAACAAAAGAAAAACAAATAAGTCATAACTTATGTTTAGTGAGAGAGTGTGTGTGTGTGTGTGTGTGTGTGTGTGTGTGTGTGTGTGTGTGTGTGTGTGTGTGTGTGTGTGTGTGTATGGGTCTCTCCGTGTATACTGTACAATACGAGGCCATGCAAGTGTATCTCAGAGAGAGCCCTCAAGCAGGGAAGAGAAAAATGGCTGAAGAGAATGGCTGGTGAGGTGGGAATTACAGAGAGGCAGTTAGAGCTTAATGCTTGTCACTGTAGGGCCTTTGGGTGGGGAGGTGGACTCAGTGAGATTCACTTAGGTGCCTCTTTCATAGACGCAGTCATACAATCAGAAAGGAAATACTACAACCTGCACTCTATCTATGAATACTGCTTAACACAAAGTGCAACCAGTGGCTCGTTAATATCAAATAACAACAGAGCTGCTGGCTTCTTTTATACATACTCTGCACTGGCCAATAACAAATACTGTTACTGTTTTCACCTTATTTTAACCTGTAAATCTATCACTCCCACATGAACCAGAATAGGAATGTACATCTGCCAACATCGCTCCAGTTTTTGTTGGTTTGAATATATCTTTAGTAACAGAAGGTCAAGGTTTTATTAATTTAAGTCAACCCGTCATGTTTTATTAAACTTTGATGTGATGGATGGATGGAGGCAACTAGAACTACTACAAAGATGAACAATGCATGGGCGTGTTCTATTATGCAGGGCTGTGTCAGATGTCCATATCAAATACAGTTGAGAAAAGGCGTTTCCAAACAGGCCCAGGGCGACTCGTCATATAGATAACTGCGAGCTCTGTGTTTGCAAAAGAAAAATTAAATATTTATTAATCCTTCCAATAAACAAAAGCCCACATCCAGCAAAAAGATGTGCCCTCTGTGCTGCCTGAGGACGAGCAATCCGCTCAAAAAGCGTTTCCATCCTATCTGCATACATGCTACAGCCTTTTTGAAATTTGTCTGTGTGTTTTTGCATACGTGGGCTTTAATGAATTTCATTTTTGGCAAGAAAAAAAATCCTTCGGTTGTCTTTATTGTCTTTGTGTTCAAAGTGCGACAGAGTAATCTAAAAGCTGAAATCTTTCCTCTTCTAACAAGAATTGTCTCAGTGTGATGTGCTGCCCCCTGTTCTACATAGTACAGTGCATATTTGCTCTTTGGGTACTTGTGCGTTTCACTTTGGATTCATATTATGCGAGTGTGTACGCTTGTGTCTAGAAATAGTAACAGTGGGGAGGATTCTGCAGATGTAAAAGAAGAAAATGATTGCAAGTCAAAGCCTTGCATCCAACATTATCTGCTCCCTTCACCTGTAAATGAATGTCACCCACATGAATTTTGTTCGCCTCAAGCTCGGCTGCATTGATGTGGATGATGGAATTTCATTCCTACATAATTTGGTCTGATTTCAGCTGCAGCTTGACTGCAGTTTTAAACATCTTTGAAAACCCTTGTTTAAATTCTCTCATATGGCGCACACACACACACAAACACAGAGACACACACCTCCCTGGTTTTCAGAGTTTATGCATTTGTGTGTGTGTGTGTGTTTGTGTGTGTGTGTGCGCGTGCACATGTTTGTAAATGCATGGACAGGCATGCGTGTCAGGAGTCCTCATTAAAATTGTATGGGAGCTGATGCTGTACTCCTGCTCCAGTGCTCCCATTGCCACAGAGTTCTCCACATCTTGCCAGGTAATCAGGCGGGCGAACACATGCAGCCCTGCCTCCTCGACTGCCAACAGGCTGGCTTTAAGGCTGTAAAAACAGCCGCTGTAGCTAATTCAGCCTGTCATGTTCATGTTCACTGTGGAAAATTTTTTACAGATGCAAAGAACTATTAGTGACTGTTTTGTTGAGTGCTGATTGAATTGATGGGACCTGTTAATGCTAATGTGATGGTTCCTGTTCTTTTTCTTCACTGCTTTTTGTCACCCCCTATAAATCACCCTCTTCCCTATTTGTTCTCTGTGTCCTCCTGCTATAGGGGAGCACCTGCGCATCTGTCCTCAGGGTTACACCTGCTGTACCAGTGGCATGGAGGACAACCTGGCCATGCTGAGCTGCAGAGAGATGGAGGGACTTCTCAAAGATGCTGGACGATCCTTACAGACCTCACTCACTGGACAGTACAAGACCTTTGATGGTGAGTTTTTATATTCTCAGTAAGTGCATGAGGTGAGTGGGAGAATTAGAATACAAAGAGGGGTTTTTTTTGTTTGTTTGTTTTCTTTTTGTATGTCACTTTTGATCAACACATTGTCTTGCCAGTAGTGGTAAATCTCACTTCACATTTTCATTCCAGAGATGCCCAGCCAACACAAAAATGCACACACGCAGACTGACAATAAGTATAAGAGATAAGTTAAAGCCATTTTATCATACAGGGTGCAGATTGATGCAGAGCATTGATCTACTGTCATGCTTCACAGAGGAGGTTGGTAATGCCTTTCAGTGGTGTTGTCAGACTGCCAACTTTTTTCCTTTTACTTTGTTACAAATACAAATCTGGATTTCACTGTTTGAATGCTGATGTTTGAAGCCAGACACACAGAAAAGTTAAAACAATAAGAGAATTTGGCACCTTCTGTTAAGGTTTTAAGAAGCTAACTAGGTAATGGCAATGTCGGGGGACATTGTTGTTCATCTCATGTCCCTCTATTCTCTTGTTTCATATCTGCTCTATGCTGTATTCTAGGAAAAAAATGTTGCCCCAATATGCTTAAAGTTATATTTTGAAAAAACATAACTTTAAAATGATAATATAGAATTATCTATTATTTTATGGCTGTTTGGTACCTCCCAAAGAGACTGGAAATGCAAATATAAAGTGTTTTGTTTTTGAGAGAGCGAATAGATTAGACATTTCGTAGGCTTTTACATTACATTGGATTAGGATTTGAGAGGTTGCTAATATTACAGTAACCATGACCATGACAGTATACTTTTATTTCATAAATAATTAGATCCCATGTAATTTAATTCAACTAAATCTGGTAAGTCTCAGGTACCTTTTTACAGTAAAATGTTAACATACATTATATAGAATTATGATTGCTGTGTTTTGGCAACATACACCAGCGCAATAATCAGAACTGCTATTGTAAATCTACTCTTGTTCTTAATAAAATGAAATAACTGCAATGCTATGAGTGTGAGAAAAGAAATGAGAGAGACAGAGAAAGAGAGGGATTTTCAATCTTAGAACACTGGCACCAAGGCAATTATTTGTGTCTAATGACCTGCTCCAGTTAATAGAAGGGTGTCTCTGTGCTCCACTTGTTCTCCTTGGCCAGTTGGTGACAATGGATGTGTCAGCTGGAGCTCTGAGCTTGGCTAGTTAGCCTGACCTTTTCAGATCACAGTGATCAGTGGCTGAGTGACATTTGTTTACTCTTCTTCTGTTGCTCTGTCTCCTTCTTTCGCATGGCCCCCCCTTCTCACTCCGGGTGCTGTTATTGCTGTGCCAAAGGGACACCATCACCCTGCCAAAACACACATAAGTACACACACACATGTGCACACAAACCTGTCCAAGACATACAAATTCTCTCCAAGATAGTTTATGTCATCCTACAGTTGTTGAACTTTCCCATTTTTCAGGAAAACACCTCATTTAGCACAGCAGAACCAGTAAACAACATAGACTGCAAACACACACATTCAAGCAGCACTCAGCTGCGACCTCTAAACACTGTAATGATGTGCATCCAAAAACTCGTAGATAAATACACACATAGACACAAGTCATGAACAAGGTAACTTGTGTTGCCTCATAATGAAGTCATTTGGAGCTTCTTTTTGTATATGTACCATACGCTTTGCCAGACATGTTCTTACAAATTTCTGATAGCTCATAGCTGCTTCCTTTTTTTTGTTTTCTGTACACGCTCTCCTCTCCTCTCCAAAGCGAACCCATTCCTGCTCTGTTCAACTCTATTTCTTTTTTTTCCTGTTTCTCATATCCCCTTATCTCACCCCTATGAGCATCAGATGGGGAAGGCAAAGCTGACAGAGGGAGGAGAGAAGTATATGTGTGTTGGGACCTTGAGGTCTAAAAACCATCTGTTGTTGACTGTGTCCTCTGAAGATGATAGCTGAGAGATAGACTGGGGTTAATTGGACCATAATATCTTACATTTGCTGCCACATGATCAGCTCAATTTTGTTGGGTTCAGCCATTCTTATTAAAGACATCCTGTTTTTAGCTTCAGCTGTTGACTTACTCTAGTTTCAGGCTTTGGTAAAATAACTACCACTGAAATCCAGTCACTGCTTTTAGTGTTTCATAAGTGACTTAAGAAGTAGTTGATTCTGGGATATTCCCAGGATTAGACACAAAATGTTTTGTAAGGTTAAGGTTGAAATGTATGGTTATATATTGGTGTGGATTATCTGTTCTCTAACCACGTCCATAGCAGAGATTTTAGTTCATATGGCTGCAGGAGACTGCAGTGACATTGTACCATGCTGCCAGTCCCTCCACATCTGGCTGTGTTTAGCAGGGTGTGGGCTAGCTAGCGCCATGTGGCTAAGTGTAGGGTGTTACTGTTCCAGCCCAGTCAGGCTTGGCCTTTTTAGGTCCCGGGACTTTGGAAGAAGCCCCAAGCAAGCCACAGATTAGAGGACCAGCATGCTGACATACAGCTGGCTCTGAACCTAAAAGTGTGTACACTGTGTATATGTCAACATGCAGATGTGCGTTTATATGCATGTGTTTGTAAGTTTGTAATTTAGAGTGTGTCACTGTGTGAGTGAGTGAAATGGGCTTTGTATACAGTATGTGTGTATGTGGTTTGCACTTGGTATTCCCAATGTCACTGCTGTCATTCATACTGCGTGGAGTGGTGCAAACTAAACAATATATTATGTTGAACAAAGATGCAGTGCAAAATGCTAAGGAGGGAAAATTAAACAAAGAAACTGGGTGAAGCAGAGGGCAGAGTGAAAATGAGACAGATGGAAGGCTAAAACATACAGTGGAGAGTGGTAGCCAGAAAGAGTGTAAAAGAGATAAACAGAGAAAGAGAGGTGGGTTCACATATGAAAGTGAGAGGGAAAAGGTCAGAGAGGACACAAAGAGTGATGGCACCAAAGGGAGCAGTGTGTTCGATGGCAGCCAGGTGTGTTAGACAGACGGAAGCCTTAAGCTGGCAGGTGGTGCCTGTTCTAATGGTGCCATCACTGGCATCTGGATTCACTGTGTGTGTGTGTGTGTGTGTGTGTGTGTGGGTGTGTGTGTGTGTGGGTGTGTGTGTGTGTGGGTGTGTGTGTGTGTGGGTGTGTGTGTGTGTGTGTGTGTGTGTGTGTGTCACTTGTAATACTGCCACATATACATTCAAGCAACCTTCTACGTTGTACAAAGGGATACTCATTTACTCTTTACACAATATTAAGACCACAAGGAAAGACCATATTAATAACTTTCCAATTCAATTTTATTTATAAAAAAACAACACTGTTGACCAAAGTGCTGTACAATGACAATTAAATACAAAAAAGAAATCTCACATTGATAGTACAAAAAGACTTAAAACACATGTAAAAACAACAACAGTTAAGCAATAAAAAGGCAACATCTCAGACTGTGTCAAAAGCCAAGGAAAGAGGTGCGTTTTGAGAAGAGATTTAATGACACACAGTGAAGAGGCCTGCTTGATGTGTAAAGGCAACTTGTTCCAGAGTTTGGGAGCCGCAACTGCAAATGCCTGATCCCCTCTGAGTTTCAACCTAGTACTTCATACCTCCTGTAACTAAATCCTTGTTCCTTTTGTGTCCAAGTTTTGTTTGTACCGTATGTAAAGCACTTCATGACCTTGCATGTTTCTCCATGCAACTTTCAAAATTCCTGTCCTGATCCCACTCCATTCAAACCTTGAAGTCCTCCAGCGCCAGACAGTTGACTGTGCCTTTATTGCATTTACTGCTTCTTTGTCTTATATGCCTGAATATCTCTGGTCGAATAAAATAAGACATTTGAAGATGTCACCTTGGGGTTTAATAGATTGTGGTGGTGTTTTACTCTGTCTTCTTGTGCTTTACAGGTTAAACAACTAATAGATTCACTCAGAAAATAATCTACAAATAGAGGATGAATATGTAAATACACAGAGTACAAAGAAACTGATTTTATTTTGATCTTAACCCAGGTCTTGAGTCATCAACACACACAGCCTACACACATACATGTACTGGCACAGAGTATTTATGAGCAGCCAAAGGCTTATTGGCCAGTGTGTTCCAGCCCATTTCGGTCCAAAGCAGATCAGTGGTCATAGAGCTTAATCTGATTTGAAGAGTACTGGCTGGCTGGTTTATGGGTACACTCATTTCTACATGACCAGGCAGGACTCACTTACTTATTCATGTAAGTAGAGCTCTGAACATCTCCCACCTGGCTTGTTAAGTAACACCATGTCCTCTCATGGAAGTAGACTGAGGGGGAAGAAATCCATGAGAATGACATCAAGCACACCCAAATGTATCCTATCAGGTTCAGGGAACAGGCACTAAACTTGGATGTAAGGAGAAGTCTGCATTGCCGTCAGACGATAGCAAGCAGCAGCCTGCTGTATTGCTTTTCAGTGAGTAGTGTGGCAGGCAGCTCACTGGGAGTCCTGACACCAAGAAAACTTGTACTTTAATCCCAGTAAGAACAGCTTTGGTGATTAGCAAGTGAAAATACATGCATGTCTAGGTTAAAACTAGAACACACTTGAGTATATGAGTATAGTATTGTAGCTTGGACCTGCTACACATTGAGATCTACACATGAGGTGGCTTATTAAAACAAACATCTTCCACTATAATGCGATAGCTAACAAACTGGCAACTCTGTGTTTTCAACCAAATTTAGCCCTGCATCCTTTTCTTTTCACCTTTAAGACACAAAATCAATGTTAATTCGGATTGGGCACTGGTGGCACATTCTACATGTGTGTTGCAATATTCCCACAATTAGGCAACAGATTTGATTCAGTCCCACCTCACCAACACCCACCTTCTAATTTCCTGCTTTCAGGGTCACTTCTGATGATGTCACGAGAGACAAGGACATCTGCTCCCATTGTGGCGCTTGATTGGCTCATTTTATCTGCATGCAAATCACGTCGGTGGGGACCTGGAGTATACTGGCCTAATTATGCC